ATATACATATACATATACATATCTATCTATGTATATATGAGCCCGATACTTTTAGGGTTTGCTTAACTAGCTTTGAATATATACAATATCAAAGGCATAACTAAATGAATCGTATAAGGCGGCGTGGTACATTGCACAAACCGAACTCCAAACAATTTTGGACCGACTGTGATATGTTGTTTAATATCGAATGTCCATGTCTTTCAGAACCTTGACCTGGTGAACGGCATCCATACTTGAGGTGTCAAACATCTTGCACGAGGGGTTGTTGTCGATATTGTCTTGGTTGCTCACCTCACCGAGCTCATGAATATGGGTTGTGGCTGCCAAGTGTTGAGGTCACGGTTGACCACCTTTCTCTCCACCTATTCCCCTTGGAGGCACACGCACTGATACTTTCTGTTCACAGATAGCGCTCAGTCGTAGATCTGTGCAGCCGGAATGGCTCGGACTCTACAACTCAGTCGTAAGCAATTGGCTTATGGGAATTTTTTGAGCCACAAAGTTGCATATGAGGCGGAGCACTTTAAAGCACACATACTCTGTACTCTGTGCAAGGCAGAAGTGTAAATGAGTTGATGGTAGAGCACAGTTTGTCAAGCAGGCCCGTGATACCTTGATCATCATAGCTCTTATCGTGGCACCCACGAACTGTACGATGCATCAAGGTCTGTTCGCACCCCCCATGAGTGAGGCCTTGGGCCTTGCTCACGCAGGAGGAGAGTCGCGATTGGACCAGAAGAAAATAAGTGTCTTAGCCGCAGCAACTTTGCGAAATGTAACTACGAGCCTTGGATTCCCAATCAGAAACGTTGTGACACATCGCTACGTCAGTGGCAATCCCCCGACAATACGAATCAGGATCGGAGTGTTACATGCTCGAATGAGCACTGCATGATTTAGGCATTCGGGAAGAGGTCATCTCGTGTTGCCACGTTCCCAACGACGGTAGAATTCTCGTTCGCGTGCACGGTGGCATCGGGAGGATCATGTTATATCATGTTGTTCTTTGCCTTTGTCATGCCCTTTGTTGGCTTTGCCTCGGTTCGGAGGTCGCCCTTTCGGCTCTGCCGGTCTAACAGTCGCTCGCTCCTGATCAGTCAAAGGTCTCGGATACCAGATTGTCCAGGGTCCAAGTATACGTGAGCTTGGATGTGAGTGTGGGCCGTAGGATGTCGGGTTGGTCAACTTCGCAGTGTACTTTGCCGGTATCATAATGTCGCAGTTAACGAGCAACTCGATGGTCGTGGTCGCTGTGGATGACAAACCGTTGATCATCATCACTGCCACTGCCCATTTGATGAGCACCTCGCATGAGCTTGGAGAGCAATTGATTGGTTCTGAATTTCCGGAACAAGTATGCTCCCTCAGGATCTGAAGCAACATCTAGGTTAAGCCTCGCGTGTAAGCCAAGATCTCCTCGTCAGTGACGTCCAGAGAAATGCCTGTATCTGGGTCGACTTCACAAAGAGCAGGCCAATACCCGAGAACATCATATCGATTCCCATTCTGGAAGCTGGCGTGCATGTGCTCATGTTTGAGATTGGTCCGGTACCCACCCATGAGTTGTACATGCATTACACTGTACGCAAAGGATACAGACGTGGCATCGATGCACCATGCTGCCGAAGCATTCGAGTAGTGGGCAACTTGCATGGGTATCCTTGCCTGAGCAAGAACTGGATCGGTGAGATGAAGGCTTTCTTGTACAATCACCGGGCGTCGCTCTGCAACCTCCTCTTGGTCCTCATCTTCATCATAGTCTTCATGTTGTTCTTCGTCTGGCTCAGGTCATTCTCCTTCACGGCGTCATGGGGTCCACTTGGCAATTCGCACAGTGTGCTCATGACCTTCTGAGGGCATCGTTCATCCCGAAACTATACCGTTATTTGAGAGGGCTCGTAGTCCATCGTCACCCCGTCCTCGAGTTCATAGTCTAGGATTTGTTGACGGTCTCAAAAGGCATACATATCGTAGGGGTCAGGTGTACAGAGCCATACCTCGTTGACAAACCTGAAAGGAATTGAATTGGACGTCTGACAATCACCATGCCGCTTTCGGTCAACTTGCCTCCGAGGCGAAGGAGACCAGGGGCTGGGATGTAGAGAACCGCCAAAGGCGAGGTCCTACTCCCTGGCACCCTGTATTTCGTGACCCTGTTGCGGTTGTCACAAGGGCCCTGTCTCGCGACAGTTGCTTGGCTTTGCCCCAAGTTGCATATGACACCGCAAGCAAGGTCTGGTGAGACTCTCAATCCACCATAGGTGGACACGGTGTTACCATAGTCCCTGTACGCAATAGGAGCGCAGCGCACTGCTTCTTGTGAGCGTTCCACCAAATCGTCTTGCGGGCGGATGAATTGTTGCTTGGGGTCATAGATGCTCCCAGCTGATGCCAAAGCGTACTGCTCGCGAGTTTGAGTTTCCCATAATTACTCTGGTTATGGTCCACGCAAGAGCATACTTGTAGGCACATCCAATGCAGTGCGTCGGGAATTCTGGGCCGTCAAACTTCGTGGAATCCTGGCAAAACACTGCAGGTAATTTCTGCCGCTCACGTCACATTGGCCGCAAAAGAATGTGTTGCCTTCCGTTTCATTCATTGATCTTAGTGGTGGAATACTCGTCGATCTCGTGCCAGTAATGATTACAGTGATGGTTCTCGTCATGGTAGATCTCGGGGCCTCGGGGGTAGTCAAAGCGACATCGAAGTTCTGCCACTCTACGGAAGAGCGCCCAGCAAAGCTGTTGCGCTTCCCTTCGGTCTCGATCTCCTGACATCTTTCCGTAGACACCCGCGACTTTGAATCAACGTCTGATGAAAAGGGAACTTGCGGTTGTCTTCCCAAATCTCCACGCATTCCGGCAGGCATGGTTTGGATATGAATCAGTCCACTCCACTTTGAGATCAACTGTTCCGGGATGAAGCACGCTGAAACCATCTCCTCCCAAAAGAGCTGTTTCTCGTACAAGGCAAAAGGCGCGATGATGCAACGATCGCGTTTCCCCATTTCCAACTGAATCAGTAGAAAGAAGTTGCGAGCCGCTGTCATTGTCCTTGAGAGAGCACTCGAGCTTGCACCAAACTGAGGGTCCACGCACAACTACGCAACCTCGAACTCGGAGTGCTAATGCGACGTAGGCGCCAATGGCGGTCAGAAGCCACTTGTGTTTGTTGTGATCCAGATCGCCACGCCCCCATGTCGGTCGGATGCAGACCCAAGTCTAAGGACATCTCTTGCGTTGATCATACCCTCCTTGTCCTTTGTCTCCTGCATGAAGACCACACTGTACTGCTTGTGCAGGAACTGGTCGCTGAGGTAGCGGTGTTTGCCTCCCAGTCCTTGCACATTCACCGAGAGGGCAGTGAAGTCAAGGAGGTGTGTCCCTCTGTCTCGGTCCCGGGCACATCCAACAGTGGGTATCAGCTCCTGCGGTTTGAAGGGGGCTAGCTCGGCCTCGCGATTTGTTCTGCCACGCCAGCCATTGTCCTCCATAAATGGATATCACCCCTTGTGGACCAAAGGCAGCCGTAGCCACCCATGTCCAATCCATGTTCCAGAAGGCCATGCAGTTGGTGTCCGGGGGCTTTGTCATCCATGTTTTTCCGATAGCTGCCTGCTTGGCAGTTGTGTCTGCCAGCTCATTCCAGGCGTTTGCGCGGACATACTGCAAGCGAAGTTGTTGCCTTCATAAGTTTCGGACAGAAGTGACATAAAGCTTAAAAGCTCCAGGCAGTGCAGTTTCTCACAGGTATCTTGCGTGGCCGCCATGTGCCATCAATGCTTTTGCCAGCCGCCTGGCAATCATAGAAAAGTATGACCTCATGAATCTTAAAGACTCGAGCCATCTGTCCAACCATGCCATAGCAATGCAACCGTAGTGGCAATTTGCTCAGCAAGCAGTGCCGGTGGGGCGTCAAACATGCACTGAGAGATTGGATTGCTGCGGAGCTGCTCCGCAAAGAGTGCTCGCTCTTGCTGGTTGCACAGTATCGCCACTACGGCGTATCCGCGGTCGATCGTCTATGCCAAGGCCACCACCGCGACCTTTATAGCCACGATGACACCATCGCCAGCCTTGCCATCCAAAAGCATGTCCGCAACGCCCTCTTGCAGGGTTGGCGCCCGCAGCGCTCACAAGCCCGAGGGGGCCAAGCTCCGATCCCGCTTTTGGCGAAGTAGAAACCATCTGTGTACACCTCAAGGTTGGAGTCTTCTTTTCCCAGCAACTGGCTCCAAGGGACTGCCTGCTGCAATTGCAGCCTGGTGCTTGCATGTATGTCAGTCAAATCCAGGCCATGGCTGAAAAACTCGGTCCAGTTGTTGTTGTCCATGGGGGAGGCGTATGATCTGTTGATCGAGGTCAAGCGCGGCATTTCCTATGAACCTCGAGAGCTCCAGTTGCATTGGATTCTCACCAGTGTCGTCGGCACAGGTCGCCTGGTCTTCTTCTTTGGCCGTCGCCGAGGCGATGGGGAGGGTAACCTTGTGCTCCTCCTTCATCAGACAGGCGAAGCATAACCTCAAGTACTTCTCCGTCATTGACAAGTAATGCCTCTCCATCCTCCATCCGTTCCTCCGTGGACGACAGGGGTAGTTCTCCTCATACGGGATGTGGAGCGCCTCGAGGTACTCACAGGGGTTGATCAGGCCCTCGTTGACTGCCAGCCACTGCAGCCACAAACCGCGATGATGGAATGGATCCTCTTTCCCGCGATGCTCATGTGGAGTGGCCGCTCGGTCGGTGCCCGTAGCCAGAAACTACCAGGGCGCATGTCAAAGAGGCCAGCTGCTGTTTGTTGTGGGCTGTTGTCGGCCGCTCAGTCAACCTCGTGGATACACTGTCTTTCCGTTGTTTGGAAAGCAAAGAATCGTCCAGACCGCGGTGCTGGAGGGTCCGTGAGTGGGTTCCACAGAGCTGGTTGGTGACGTCGATCTGCCAATTCTCCCGCCCAGTTCGCAACTTGTCCTCTCGGTAATGCCTGTACGAGGCCTCCCTGCGTTGGCAGGATTTGTTCTTGCTGGGCCAGGGGTCTGAAGCAGCCATAGGCGAAGATTTCCACTGGCTCCAGGTCTTGTCTCGATTTGGCCATCGCCGGGTCCAATCAGGTAGCAGGCGAAAGCCCCTTTGCCCACAGGTCTGGCATCGATCACAGTGGCTTGCTTACCTGACATCATGATCCATGATGGCCATGTTGAGCCATTTGGTATTGTAGGATGAATGCTCGCAGCATCTCTCACTGCTTCAAGCGTGCATTGGCGAACAAGTCCAACATGAGACATACATCGCTCGGTTGATTGCGTCTTCAATCCGGTGGTGGATCTCTGCAGGTTGCGGTGGCTCGGGAGCATCCCTGGTGTACACCTCGTCTGCGCTTTCAGACAGGTGCCACAGGGGTCGCTCCCATACCCATCTGGCCTCTGCATCAGCCATTTGTTCTTCCAGGGTCTTGTGCCCTGGGCCTTGTCCTTGAGCGCCTTACTCATCTTGGCCTTTGCCTTTCTTGCAGTCGTCACACACTTCTGCACATGCTTTGTGACGGAGAGCGGCTTGTGATCGTTCAAAGTTCTTCCGCACCGTCGTGGCTGTCCTCGTCTCTGCCTCTCTCCAGTTTCCATGAGCTTGCCTTTCCCATCCATTCCAGCCGAGCCTCACCGTTTTGTCGTCCCCCCCTTGCTTGGACTTGCCGCCCATCTCCTGGACTTATCGATGCTATGGTCGTGAGTGGTGGGCTGCCAATCGGCGAAGAGCTTTTAGTGGAACTCGCACTCCCAGCCGCCTGGATCTTTTGCTCGTCGTGCCCGCCTGCGCCTGTGCCACGCCCGTGAACGGCCCGGAATGGCTGGCAAGCACTTGGGGTCGCAGGCGATACGGTCGCTCGAGACCGCTTGATCCCAAACCCTACATACATACAGTATGTATGTATGTATGTATGTATGTATGTATTATGTTTGCATGTGCGTATGTATGTGTAGAAGTGTGCAACTATAGTGTGCATGTATGTGTAAATGTCGGTTTTCGTGTGTGGTCAGAAATGCATACCGGTGTTCTCAGTGTTCATGCTATTGTCGGCCAGGGAGCTCAACCTTGCCCCTTGTGTTGAACCGTCTATCCTAGCTCTGCAGTCTCAGCTTTTCTCGAAATTGCTCATACTACTGAGTTACTACTGTTACTGTGAGTATAGGCACCATTGAACCCTGCAGCCTCAAGCCTGACCGGCTTCTGCTTCGACGCCGGTTCGGGGGGCCCGGCCTCGTTACAGTATGCACAACTATCAAGTTAACCGCACGCCTGCAAAGCCTTGATGTGAGAGTCGTGCATGTGCCTACACATCGAAAGCCGAACCTGTCTCTAAAAGTTTCAAGGCGCCATCTGCTTCCGGATGCTCAGGCCAGCGCGCTTTCTGAACCAGAGCCCGAATCCGACTCCGAAGCACTGCCTTGGAGTTGGATAACAATAGGCTGAGCATGCCTATGTAGCCATGGGGCCAACCGCGGTGGAACACATGCCCCGCGCAGCAATCAAGTAAGTGTGTGTGTGTGTGTGTGTCTGAGTTTCCGGCCTGTTTCCCCGGCGTCAGCTGCAACCCTGCCCAGCAGTCGGACAAGGGTCTTCAGGATGCGGGATTTCGGACCCGTCGAAATGCATTGACAAAAGTCTGTTTTTTTTTGCATGTGCAGATACGGGGCTGGTTGCTGAAGCCCAGGGCTGCAAGCGACACGTCAACTGCTGTCAATGCTGGATTCTGGAGCAAAACTGCGTAGGTAGTAGTACCTAGCTCATCACGGTCTCCTAGCGGGGCCCAAAAGGTTTTCATCTGAACACGGAACCTGTCCTGACATCAATCTGGAGGGGAGCAAGCCGTATGCACAGAAGGGATGCACTTCCGCCCTTTAAAGCCGAAGCTGTCGCCGCAAAACTTTAACCCAAGACAAAAATCTCCCCGGTGAAGCTCCCGAGCCCCAAAACCCAGTTCTCGTCTTCTGGGACGCCGGCTTCGCTTGCGGAGGGTTGTCACCTCCAAGACAGTTGCAGGGTGCAGATGGGGTCTTGCCTTAAGGGCTTCTACTTTAGGTTTTCTAGCGTGCCGAGCTTAAGTCGAGGGCTCATAGTTATGAGTCATGAGTTTCGTGTTTGGGGTTTGTGTTACCGAGAACTTGGCTGCGTTGACAAGTAGCTGGCTGCGTTTACAAGTAGGATGAGGCATTAGTGATCCTGGTCTATATGCAACGTAGTCGACAAAGCTGTGACTGCATGTGTCCCGGTCAAAATCTCCGAGATGCTTTGGCATCTATCAACACTACCTTTCCCCCATCGGAAGCCCCGACGCAGGTTGCTCTACCGCTTTTTCGGGGTGCTACTCCCCAGCACTGAAAATAAAATCTATCTCCTTCTCTCACTTGCACTGCCTATGAAAGTCCGGGTCTTCCCAGAGACACTGTGAGCCAGGCCTGGTGCCTGCGCTGGGGACGTCGGAGCCTCGCTGATCGCTCACTCCATCTACGAACGAAAAGTGTTTGCCACTTCTCAAAGAACGAGTCCTACCAGTAAATAGCTCCATGCTTGTATCAGCTTCGTGATGCGGGCATCGTGTCAAGTCCGAGCAGGACTGCGAACTGCAAAGGTGCAGATACGAACTTAGCGACAGTAAACCTGGATCCTGCACGTTGCCTGGCTTCCGTTTTCACCGCCCGAAGATTCAGAGCCTGGCAGGGATGCTCGTTGAGTTTGCTGACGGCTCGTGGCTCACCCATTGTGGTCCGTGCAATGCGAAGCGAGGCAATTCCCAACGAGAGTGGGGAGTATCCTGAAGCCCATCAAGCCTCGGCAGAACCTCGATAACACACTGTACTGGGAAGCCTACTTCAACATGGCCTTCGCCAGCAGCGTCTTCCTCCTCCGCCTCTTCCTCGTTCTCCTCATCGCCTGACTCCTCTGATGGCGGCCTTTCCATTATGCTGCAGGAATAAACCGAAAATGTTGAAGGAGGACAGTGTAACGACTTCGGCCTGAGGGCCACAGTGTCGCGACTTCGGCTTGAAGGTTTAGAGTACTGCAGTGGCAACTATGAGGTAAGGCCTGCGGCCCATGTCATGCTACCCCCGACCTACAGGACCTGCCCGTATGTATTGAAGCCAAAAATATGGCTCTCTGACTAGCAGCAGTCCGCTCATCCAGGAGGCACGATCATGAGATTTTTGAATAGCCTCGCATGGGACGTCGTTGCCTGTGTTGCTTTGGTATTCGTGCATTTTGTTTTGTTTTTGTCGCTTTTGCAGATGTTTTTTCCATACTTTCTCGATCCTTTCTTTTTCTGATGGCGTTCACTCTGAAAAATAACTTAGCAGTGCAGACACTGGTGAAATCGCGAAGTTTCTGACTCTATGTTTTAGACTGCGCCCCATGCCCTTTAAGCACATTTCTGAAAGCTCTCGCCACATCGCGAATTCGTGTACACGTAGCTGTTGGAGGGTTGCACTGCGTGCATTGGTTCACTTGTGTCAGCAAAAGGCGAAGGGCCCCGGGCAGATATCAGGACATGATCGTGATCGCACAGACGGTTTTGTTGCCGCCGATGGTGATGGCGAGGACGAAGATGATGCTGAGGGTGACGGGACGATGACGATGGTGATGATACCGTGCTTTTTGCTGCTGATGATGGTGACGGTGATAATGATTATGCACGACTGCGCCGGCAGGAAAGTGTAAGACGTACACGACAGGGAAAGTGTTGAGCCGACCCATGAAGGCACCGAATCCTAAATCAGGCTGTGGCAATGCATACATGCCCAAGCCCAACGTCTCACGCTTAGTCTAGACAACAGCATCGGCGACGGTCTCCAAGGCCGTCACAGCTCTTCTGGCTTCGGCTCGATTTGGGCCACGGGCCCTGAAGTTGCACTGGGTCGGAGCAGGGGCCGCGGCTTCGGGGTACGGGCCGGCACTGCATCTGTTTTATGTACCTTTCCGACTGCAATTTGTTTCTGGACATGGAGCTTGAGGCTCGGGAAATTGAGAAGCTTGCAAGTGGCCTGCACTCGGGTATCTCAAGTATCTGCAGCTCCATCCTGTGCCAATCCCAAAAGTAGTGTCGAACATGTTTACAAACAGCATGCTGGAACTCTGTGGTATCTTGTCAAGGTTCAAACCATACTGCTTCCGCAAACGATCGGCTCACCTTCTGGCTTGGAAGCCACAGCAGCCTGCAACAACGTCAGGGCAGACTGCGGAAATCAGGCTGCCAGCAATCGCGGCTTGAACAGCCTCGACTTGTAAGTCAACCATTTGCTTGCTGTTCACGTGCAGAGGCCGTCTGGCACCGAACTGCGGGGTTCAACCTGCAAATGGCCTCCAAAACGCGACACTTACAAGGCACGTCTTGCCTGGCTTGCCTCCGTTGTGGGCGGAGCATCTGCAGTCGGCCTCGAGACAAAGTCCCGTTCACAATGTATGTTGAATGGTGCGACAAAGCCTCGGATGAACTCAGCCGTCTTGTGGATGAGAAAACGTGCTGTCTAGCGGCTAGAGCGAGCAACTGTAGCTGTGCCTTGAGCTTGACTCGAGGGTGCGCTTCAATGTCTGTATGTTTCGGAGTCTACATCCCCTTGACTTGGCATCTGGCGCGCTGGTGCCATTCTGGATGCCTTGGAGAGGCGGCAGTGCGGTGGATTTCCTCCACCACCTCCACCCTCCTCCACCCCCTTCGACTAGGACCACGAGGGCGACCACGACGATTTACAGGTGGGGCTCTCAGGGTGTGTTCGAGAAGTACCTCGATCCTGTGGTTCACACTAAGAGCTGACATAAAGGCTACGTTGCTAGTTGCAAGTTGCTAGTTCTGCGGATCCGAAATGCCGCGAATAAGAGACTGCTTGGGGATCACTGCGCTGACGCAAAGAGACTGGCACCAAGCAGAAGAGATCTTATGAGAACAAGGCTATAGCGGACACAATGTGCTGCTTCAGGCAGTGACGACCAGACAGCGGAACAGCCATGAACTCCGAGGGCCATGCTTGGTGCCGAGGCTTTCTCCGCTTTGTCTGCAGCCTGTTGAACCAACTGAATTTAGCAGTGACTGCGCCGCTACTTTAAATTGGACCTCGATGTCGCCGATGCTGGAAAGCAAGAGACTGCAGTCTAAACGCTGCGAGGCCTACAGAAGTCTGAACGCCACCCCATCCCTATGACGTAAACCCGCCTTTGGAGAAGGCTGCTGCCTGGAGCAGGCTTAGGCAAGTATCTACTTGAGCGCTCAAAGGTGAAAGTTTGAAGGCCAATGCCTCGGGCTGTGGATGCCTGCCTGCGAAAGATTACACTCCAAGCTGCTTCGGGGCTGCTTCGTAGCCGATCGAAACTGCTTGCATCTGTCATCGTCTGTCTGTCAGATTCGCCAGCTCCGGTTCCCCAAGAGATGTATACTTGCTTAAACCACTCTTCACTGCAACTCTGTGGTCTGCATCCCGAACCAGAAGTACATAGGTTTCAGACCCAGGATGACCCAGGGCTCAGGCTGCGATTTTGCCAGGGTTGCAGCTGCGAGAAAGAAATCGCTGCTGACAATCAGCGCGTGCTATGCAAGGATGGCTGGCACAGTCGCCGGTGAACGTGCAAACCTTGAAGGCGGGGTCCGCCCCGCCTGCCGTTTGCCTCAGGCTCTCCGCCACCTGGGGCCATGGGTCTGTCGGCTAGAGGCAGACTCGGCGGCTCGAGCTCTCTGCAGAGGCTTGTTTTGGGATGTTTTGGTTGGCCTGAAGCTCCTTTAACTGGGGTTCTTATTGGGGCAGACTGACCTGATCCCAGCTTTGCTTTGAGCAGCTCCTGACGCGCAGTGCTTTTTCGGATGGTGCGCATCAATCAATGCCTACATTTACGACAGCAATGAGTCTAGCACTTCTTGCGTGGACAATGGCTGAAGCGTGAGTCAGAGGTGGACAACTCCAGCCGCAAGGTCACAGAAGGAGTTGTCTCTGAAACAGAAAGATGCAGTCCCCTGACAAACATCTCTGTGAATTTCAGAACTGCCCGGGAGCTGAAACAGCTGTGGAGTCGGCGCTCCCCAGCTGCATCTTTGGCCTGAAAACATGCGTGTCTCTTGGGCCCATGGGAGGCTATTGCGTTGACAAACCCAGTCTCGGCTTGATAGCCTGCAAATTACGGTATCGGAACTTGTAGCTTTTAAGTTCAGGCTTTGGCCGTGGGCTGTCCAAACCTAGCTAGGAGCTGAAGCATTTTCACTGTCGGCTCAGGAGTTGAGAATGGATATCGGGATTCTGGAACCTCAATCATCTCTAATCTCTAATCTAAGCTCTGTCGCGCCGAAAACGCGAAAATCGACTCACGGCAAGGGCCCAAGGTCCCGCGCCTCCGAGGAAGCTTCTGCAGGCGGCCTCGCATGTTCAACCCATGTGCACCAAGTCTCATGATCTCTGCTCATAAACAAATCGTTCCGTGGCTCGGTGCAATGAAAGTCAAGTGTTTTCCGTATTGTTCTGATGATCCTGTCACAGCGTCATTAAGGGCCATTCTGGATTTATGGTTTCGGGCCACCAAAATGTCAATCGAAACCTTGCATCACGAACATCAACTCAGCTCCGATCTTCTCTGCACGCTCTCGAACCCCCCAAGCAGATCGCAACTGAGGGGCTCTAACCTATGTGGCAGCTTTTGCTGTTCGGGGTTCTGAATATGAGAAACCGCTATTGAATTAATTGGGTACTATGCAGGGAATCTGAGTTTGGAACAAAATCTTTGTGTAAAGTCACCCTGTAAAGGCAGAGCGAAGCTTTAACCACGCATGTCATGCCCTGGCCTGTTCCTATCCGGGGCATTGGAGAGCACATGGCGGGTGGGCATCGGCATGGGAGGAGGATCTTCTAGGACGCCTGCAAGCGAACGAGACGGGAAGGTTCCTCCCTAAGCAACGAATATCAAAATGGCTCCAGCCGAACAGATTGAACACGAGGGGTTACACTGTGGTTCTAATGCGATCCCCAGTGCCCAATCTGTGAATCCCATCAGTACTTGTTGGAAGCATGTTGGCGGCTGTCTTGAAACCCACCAACAGATGGGCGGGGAGCACGGTGGGCGTGTCTCTGAAATGGTCTGCTGGTGGCTTCCTGGTGGTCTCCTGGTCTCTCGCGCCGATCTCCTGGTGGTCGCGTTTCGTGGTCGTCCCCGCCATTGCGATCGTACTCGTCGTAGCAGTTGTCGTGGTGGTCCTGGTGGTCCTGGTGGTCATGGTTGCATTGGTCGCCGTGGTCCTCACTGTTGTTGTGGTGCTCCATCACTGTTTGGCACAATTTTGGGCAACGGTGCTTGGTTGCCTGGGTTTCGAATTGACTCTAGCAAGGAATTGAAGCAGTCTTCCATGCAATTCAAAACTGGCTCTGTAAAACTATGCAAGATGGGAGGGCTTGCAGGAAGAGTGGCGTGAAGGGCTTTTTGCTCCGAGCAGAACATGTATCCTGTTCTTCCCGATCTGGACCACTTGCGCCTTCCCTTTATTTTTGCTGTTTTGCTAGACATCCCGCCAAATTTACCAAAGGGGACTGTAATAACTGTAGTGCTATGCAGCTGCACCAGAGCGCTATGCACCAGAAGCACAGGCCACTATAGTGTCAAGAGATAGCCGCATATTTTGCCCCCTAAACGAGGCACAGTTGCCCGGAGCGAGTCGTCAACCCTCCACCTTTGCCAAACCTGGAGGTCCTGTGATGCCTCTGATAGGAGTTGGGCTGCTTGCCTCAGGCAATACTCCATGATTCCACAGCTATTCTACGACATTCATTAGCCCAAACAATGGATTCCACATTCCGAAGGCCTTGCTTGCCCTTGACCCATGTTCCTACTGCAACCCCAGCAAACTGAAGCGAATTGTCAACCGTGTAAACCCCACCTGCTGAGCTTTTCTCTTTGGGATGTGGCGTTGTTCCGGTGCTGGGCGCCT